GTGTTATCTGTTTAAGATTCCGGACATTTTATAATTTGACTCTTTAATGTGTGGTCCTATTGTTAAATTTCTTCTATTTATTTTTTTTGTTTTGTGTTATCTGTTTAAGAATCTGGAAATTTTCATTTGAATTCTTTAATGTGTGGTTATATTGTTTAATTTCTAATTTTTTTTTTTAGTTATTTAACTCTAGTTCAATTTTTTGTTAAGATGTGAACATTGATACCCTGCACTAATTATTTTGAATAGTTTTTCTGTTAAGTTTCTGGACATTTTAGTTTGAACCAGGCCCGTATACAGGGGGGGGTTTAGGGGTTCAAACCCCCCCCCCCCCGAAATTTTTAAAGTAGGTATATATTTATAATATAGGTAACAAAAACTAACTACATACGTCTTTGAAATATTTTAACCCCCCCCCCCCCGAAAATTGATCCTGGATACGTGCTTGGTTTGAACTCTTTAATGTGTGGTCCTATTGTTTAATTTCTAATTTTTTTTTTTTATTGTTTTCTAAAACGCATTTGCCTTCGGGCGCCAACACCCCCCTTCAATTTTTTTTTTAGTTATTTAAGTCTAGTTAAATATTTTGTTTAGACTTGAACGTTGATAACCTGCATTGGCCCTATGAATCATCTTTCTTTAATGAACTTATCATTTTGAATAGTTTTTCTGTTAAGTTTCTGGACATTTTAGTTTGAACTCTTTCATGTGTGGTCCTATTGTTTAATTTCCTTTATTTTTTTTTTTTGTTTTGTGTTATCTATATAAGATTCTGGACATTTTATAATTTGACTCTTTAATGTGTGGTCCTGTTGTTTAATTAAATAAATCATAATATTATCTTATTTGTCATATGAAATACTAAACAATTGCCAACCGACCTTGAAGCTTCAATTCATGACCGGAGTTCGCTATCTAGTAATATATAGAAATCTGTGGTTCACACGAACAGCTTGTAACTGGTATAGTTACGAATATTTTAAAGGCTTTGAATACATTTGAAAATAAATCCTCTCTACTATAAACTTTAAGCCACTTAATCCATTCACCACAGGTTTTTCCTTTTGGATTTGGATCACTTTGTTTAAAATTTTATATCTGTGATCACAAATTAATAAATGCGTAACTAAAAAAATTACAATCAAAATCTACGGGTATAAGGTACTGCAGGGTACACACCACACAAATTTTTTTTATCCTGACATGATTTTATTGGAGGCACAGTCGGCCGGTGGGGCCAGTGCCCACCCGGCCCCTCCCGTAAACACGCCTATGATTGGACCTCATGAAGAATGGGTTAGCTTAGCTAATTGTAGACAATGTCGTAGTAGAGCAGGTCGTGTAAGACCTGGTATTTGTTATAATTTGTATACAATTTTACGCGATAGATCAATTAATGATTATGTACTACCTGAGATGATATTTATATGATGAAATTGCAGCTGGATCAAGCAGCAGAATTTAAAATTAAAATTATGGAATCTCAATCAGCATTAAAAAAAGAATTAGAAAAAGTTAAAATGGAGAAACAAGATGCATTAGAAGAAAAATACGAGTATAATGAAATGGCGGAGACTTTAGAAATGGCTGAAGTGTAAGCAGAAACACTTCAATTAGAATTAAACCAAGCAAAAGAGCGTATTGAGGAATTAACAGTAGATTTGGAACTGTTAAAGGCTGAGTTTGAGAAAGGAAATGTAAGTGAATAGGGAGGAGATGGTGCCAATTATTTCAAAGTCAAGCAACTTGAACAACAAAATGTACGTCTTAGAGATACACTATTCAAGTATAAGATGCTTTTATATTATTATTGTTGTTTAAAATTGATTGATTCCTATTTAGTTGACACTTATTGAAACTTTAGATTACGAGACTTATCCGCCCACGAGAAACACCAAACACAAAACTTACAAAGAGAAATCGAAGAAATGACCAAACAATGTAATGATTTACAAAAGTCCAATGAAGAACTAGCATCTCAAGTTAATGATTTGCATGAATAGGTTTTATATTAATTTTTAAATAGATAGTTTCGAAGTATTAATATGTTATTATATTTTAGGTTGATGCAGCTTTAGGAGTAGAATAATTAGTTGAGCTTCTGGGTTAACAAAAATTGAATTTGGAAGATAAAGTGGTAGAATTAGAGAAAGCAATGACTGATCTAGAAGCAATACAAGATATTAATGATCAACTCCAAGAAGATAGTACAGAGTTGGAAATGCAATTACGTAAAGAATTAGATATGGCAAATGCTAGTATTAGAGAGGTTTTAAATAGTATTAATAGCAAACATTTTATTTTTATTTGTATCTAAGTCATATTTATTTTAAAGTGTGTCGAAGGAAAAGGACAAGCATTGGAAAGTTTAGCTGATCGGAATTTGGTTTTTGTAAAATTTAAAGGTCTGGTTAATGAACCAAGTGAACAAAATCAAGATCTATAAACTCAATTAATGATAGAATCTGCATCAAAAGATAAAGTTCGGTCATCAATACCAGAAATGCTTGACTTTAAGGTTAACTATAAATTAAAATATTTATTATATGGAAAAATAGTTAAAAATATATTATTTATTAGAAAATGTTTGTTTTATATTAATTGGATCACAACAGCAATTAAAAAGAAAGTCAAAAGAATAAGAAGAAACGATGGACCATTTGCAAGCAGATATTGATTCACTAGAAACAGAAAAAGGAGAATTAAAAAATAAACTTAAAAATTTCTCAAAAAAAAAAACCTTATTGAAGGTATAAACAAGTGAGTTACCTATACTTTTAAGCTGTAATTAAAATATAGTTCTTAAATTTGAGTTGCATAATAATTCTATATTTTTTCTTTTCAGTGACCGGTACTGGAAATGATAGTAATAAACCATGCCAAGAATCTCCATTCTAACTTAACAAATTAAAGTTAACCAAAATGGCACTAAAACATGAAATAGATCAAAGAGCCAAGCTTGAAAATAATTATTGTGAACAAATATTTTCTCAATTAAAACCTTTGCCTGTAAGTTAATACACTTATTTTTATTTATGAAATAACAATATTATAACAAAGGACTGATGAAATATTTGTTGCAATATAATAATCAAAAAATTTTAAAACCTTTTCAATTTTGATTTCTAGTTCAATTTAATAACTGCCTTGAAAGTTGGGTGGGTAAGTGGCTGAAATAATAGTGTATACTTCTGAGTCCTTCTGCTATATTTTTACTAAACACAGGAATGTCATTAAATGATGTACATTTAATTAGTAAGTTAGTTTAATTAGTTTCACAGTCATTTGAAAGGGTGTTCATTTGGAAGGAGTGGGATGTGTGTTTCAATCATATTATTTGAACTGCAAGTTTTAATAATTAAGAGGATGTAACACGGGCATTTGTTGTCTCCGTCTTACAATTACGTAACAGCACATTTAAGCTCAGCAGATCACGTTTGACTTTGTTAGTTTAAATTTAGAGTGAATGAAACTTGATGGTAAGAAAATTATATTTGTTTTTATAGAAGTTTTTACTGTAGTTAATTTTTTTAGCAAGTCTTACATATATAATATAGCGTTAATTAAAAATGCTCATAACTAAAAATCATTTTTCATTATAGGTCGATTCATTCTAATTTTTAAACTAGAAAAGCTTAATGTTTTATGCCGAGCTTAAATTTCCTATGTTACTCTCTTGTAAGACAGAGAAAACAAATGCCCGTGTTACGTTCTCTTAATATTTTCATTTATTTGAAGATCACGTATCTGTTTTTAACTTTGCTCTAAACAATTTTAAAAATGTACATGCCCAATTATTTCCATTATTTTCTTGTTGACAAGTCATTTTACAAACAATTGTTTACTTGCCTCATATTATTTATAATAAGTCTCATCAAAATTGGTATATTTTGTCATAATTTTAACGGCAGTATACATTTCAATATTTCTATTACAAAAATCAATTTTAGATTCTGAGTGGAACGATTGATGGATCATTTTCAAGATTTTGATAAATTTTGTCAAAATTCGATCTTTAAATGCTTATAAAAAAAAACTGTGCCTATGTATTTTTAATATTTTTCAACTGATATTGTAACAATATATCAGGAGCCTTGTATTAAATTTTTACACTTTTTGGCCCAACAGATAAAACAGAAAAAAACTAAAAAAAAATTGAAAGCTGTAAATGTCCGTAAACAGCTCAAAAAGAGTCAAAATATTTTCAAAATTGTATGGTGTATAGGAAATGCTAATATAAACATTCAATAAAATTTTCATGTTTCTACAGTTATTCGTTTTTGAATTACAACCAAATAAGGAAATCGCTACATGAGAAATCGAGTGAATATCCAATGTTGTAAAAATTTGAATTTCAAACGCTCATAAAAATTTAATTTGGCTTTCTTATAGACATTTTTTTTTTTGATAAAGGTAGATAATCTTATAAGGAATCTTGTATTACATTTTCACATCTTAGATTTAAAAAAAAAATTTTACGAATTCTTAACTCAAAATAATTTGCTATTTTTCGTGATTTTTCCATATTTTGTCAATTTTTGAACTTTATAAAAGCTTATAAAAAAAAATTGTGACTATGGATTTTTAATATTTTTCATCTACCTTTGAAACAATATACTAGAAGCCTTTTATTAAATTTTCAAGCTTTCGCAACCAACAAATAAAATTTTATTGATATTTTTAGAACTAAAAAAAAAATGGAAAATGAAAATGTCCATAAACAGTTCAAAATAAATCAAAATATTTTGAAAATGTTATCGTGTATAAAAATGCAAATATAAACAACCAGTAAAAATTTCATGTATATACGTTCATTTCTTTTAGAGTTACACCAAAAACTAAAATCGATTTTGAGTAAAAATTCCCGTTTTTCCTTAATTTTTATGTTGTTTTTCCCGGTGCTTGTGAAAACTACTATTTTGACCCCCCAAAGTACCAACTATATTCACTTTCCTATCAGAAAAGATACTGTTGAAGAAAATCCAAGCACTTTTACTGTCCTAAAACGTGATGACAAATGACATGTTTGGTTGAGAACAAGGACTATCATCTTCGTACTTTCGTTTTATTCGTCTATATGGCAGGTCAGTTGCCAAAACAAGTTGGTCTGTAGTCCCGTGTCTTGTTCTATTTGATGTCGATTTTTGATGTACTTTTGATTTAGGGTTTTTTGGTGTATCGTACGAATTTATTATTTGGGTTAGTTCGTTTATAACTGTTTTGTCTGGTTGGTAAATTGAATATGCTGAACCTATTCGCCAATCGCAGTGAAAAGTGATGTAGTAGTCTGGTAAAGAATGATCATTTCTGAATGGCATGTCTTTTGAATTTTAACCTTCGTACAAAACCTGAAATGATAATTGTATACAAAAAACGATTAAAAGTTGAAAACATTCAATTATCTCGTAAAATGAATATATTACTCGAATTAATACACCATAGTTTCTAATCCAGTTGATAACGATAGTTAGAGCTGCTTCAGAATTATCATTTTCAAAAATTATTTTTAAAATTTGACGAGCCGTATCAGGCACTCGACTGCGTGTTTTGAAAAGTTCCTCGCAAAACAACTCGATTTGCTAGCGCTGAAACACTTAAAAACATTTTATTAGAATTATAAATATCTTACGTTCTTTTGCATCTTATAATTCTAATAAAATGTTAAGTGTTTCAGCGCTAGACTAAAAATCTGACATCCCTTATATGTGTTATCAAGTTTAAGAAGCAGTTGATTGTTGACCATTTGACATTTAACATTAACCGTGGTAGGTATTATTGGAAGTAAAAGTAATTAGCAGAACTGTGAATTTAATGCAATAAAAAAGTGTTAAATATTATACATGTATGAACTAAAAACTAAATATTTACCTACCCACCAAGTGTATAATAAAGAACTTTTTTTTGTACACCAATTTTAATTATCATTTATTAATTTAAACAGTTTAAATTGATATGTAAATATGCGCCGATATACCGTCTACGCGGGTACGTCCTTAGGAAAATTCAGAAAAATATTCTAGGTCCTTTTATCGCAATCCCCAAGATAAAAAAAATACGAAATACGTTGTTTTCGACTGCTTATACATATATTCTCACTCTATCGACCGTCACACACTCAATACTTGTCTGATGGAGTTTCAATTGATATGTAAATACTAAATATGCACCGATATGCCGTCTACAAGCGTAGGTCCTTTGGAAAAATCAGAAACCTTTTATGGCAATCCCCAAGATTCAAAAATTACGAAATATCAATATATTATATATTATATTCCTCATGATGATATATTTCTCGAGATAATGGAATAATACGCCAGTTATGGTATTACCCGAGATTATATATTTTCCGAGATATTATGTTTCCTCGAGATATTATAATCCGCCAGTTATGGTATTTATCGAGATATTATAATCCTCTTGATGATATGTTTCCCGAGATATTATACTACACGTGATGATATATTTCTTGAGGTATTATGTTTCCCGAGATATTATGTTTCCTCGAGATAATATATTGCCCGAGTTATTATTTTTCGTCGAAAAATATATCATCACGTGTAGTATAATATCTCGGGCGATATATTATCTCGAGGAATATAATATATCGAGAAATATATCATCACGTGTAGTATATTATCTCGGGAAACATTATCTCGGGCTATATAATATCTCGAAGCATATAATATCTCGAGGAAACATGATATCTCGGGAAACATATTATCTCGAGAAATATATCATCTGCAGGGAAACCAATAAACTCTTACAATATAAATCTAGTTTACCACCACTAACCAAAATTGACAATTCTATTGCTATAACTGATGAGGACAAGGCTGAGACTTTTCGTCAACATCTATAGGAGATATTTAAGCCACATCCCGACATAAATAACCCAAATATTATATCTAAGATAATCCAGTACTTAGATTGTCCCATGCCTCTTCATCACCCCGAAAAGTGTTTTACACCAAATGAACTAAAAACTGCAATACAAAAATATTCTACCAAAAAAAAGCTAGGCTTTGATCTAATTACTGTAGAAGTTGCTAGATGTCTTCCGAAAAAAACTATGTTATTCCTTACCTATTTATTTAATGCAATCTTTCGACTTTCATACTTCCCACTTCTGTGGAAATTTTCAAACATAGTCCTTATTCCTAAACCAGACAAACCACCTGATCTGCCTTTCTCGTATAGACCAATAAGTCTGTTACCTTTTCTAGGTAAGCTACTAGAAAGACTAATACTTAAAAGGCTATTATACCTTACATTTCTATGAACAAGATATTACCTGACTCGCAATTTGGTTTTCGCTCAGAGCATAGTACAATACACCAAGTACATAGATTGTCCTTTGTTTCGAATTACACTATACATAATGACCTGTCAATTAAAACCGTGAGAGGAGAAGCTACACGCTTCTACAAAATCTTTCATGCCTGTCAACAAACACACCAAAACCCACTAATTAAAAACCTATCCACCCAAACATTACCTGGCAACCCCAGGCGTCCCAGGCGCCCTTAAAGAGGAGCTGGTGCCGTGACTTGTTAGGGAACTAATATGAAAGTAGAAAAAAAAAATTCAGTACATAATATAAAAAAAATTTTTTTCTACTTTCATATTAGTTCCCTAACAAGTCACGGCACCAGCTCCTTTTTAAGGACGCCTGGGGTTGCCAAGTAATTTATTATATATACTATATATAATATATAGAACATCTATACAACATCCAGTCAAGTGCCACTAGTGGGTGGCTTCTTATCACGTATTCATACATTTTGTAACCATTATCAAATATGTTAATTGTGCATAGATGTACAGATTGTATATATTATACTGTATAAAAAAAAAAAAATATATTTTTTATATTAAATATTTTTTTGTTATTACTATTATTTTATAATTCTCTTATTTGTTTTTGTGATTATATTTACTGTAATTTCAGTCTACTAAATAGATTTAAGTTTACTAATATAATAACTATTAATTTGTTATTGTGTTCATCCCGTTTAAATTTATAATAAATAAATAAAGAAATAAATGCATTAGATTTTATACTTGGCTATGGATCGTTTATACACAACACAAATATTGCCTTTTATCACGATGTAGATATTATTATTATTTATTATCTAACATCTTGCCTTTTATTAATAAAAAGTATGTTATAATATTTATAAATAATAGTTGTAGGTAGTATTATATTCAATATTGTATGCAATACGAATTATTTAACTTTAGAATTCCCAAGAAAACTCGAAGTTGTTTGATTACCATTTGTGAGATGAGATTAGTGTCATTATAATTTGTGTTATAAGATTGGTGTTGTAAATAGATATTTCTGTACTTAAAATTCTCCAATATGTGTGAATTACGTGCACGACCAACCAGACATACAGATATATTGACCGCATGCCATCATGATTCTGGTACCTAATGTATCCATAAATTAAATTTTTGTATTGATCAATTTATATAGAAATAATAAATATTGATGATCATCTTTTTATAAAATAATATACAAATTTACAGAAAATTAAGTTAGGAAAAAACGTAATACAATTAAACTGTTATTAAATTTGTTAAATGTATACACTGATCAGGCCCGTAGCCAGACCAAATTTTCAGGAGGGGCAAAGCAAATTTTTGGGGGGGCATTATATATAAATGTATTAAATATTAATGCAATTTTTAATTTATTTACATTGATATCCCATTAAATTAACACAACTATAATTTTCTATCTAATAGTAATAATAATAATAATAATAATAATAATAATAATAATCCATTTATAATAGAATATTTTGGGAATTTACAATGAAACATTTGTTTTAAAGTTACAAAACGAATAATACTAAATAATAAAAATAAAACTTATATTAAAGTTTACATAGATAATTATAATATTCATCATATTCACTGATGTTACGTGGTTAAATTTTGAACATTTTAATATTAATTAATACAGCTTCAATTTTCTATTATTCTGCTTGTTGAAGTTCGTTAATAATAGGTCCATGTTTAAGTTTTCTGTCCGTTTGGACTCAAATGCCAATAAAGTTAAGTTGGAAAGCCGGTTATGTGACATTGATTGCCTTTGAGGATTGTCAACTCTGTTTAAGCAGGAAAATGTCGATTCACAAACTGCTGAGCTACATCCAAATACTTCAACTGCTGCTATCATTTCATATGTAGCTTTAAATGCTTTACGTTGTTGATAAAGCTCTAAAAAAATGTTCTAATTAGATATATTATTTTCTTTTAAATAATTTTTTACACAAATTATTTCTTCTTTTGAAGGAATATTAATTTTAAGATCATTAAATATTTTAAAATCATCGTAATTCAATTCGTATATGTTAGAAACAGCTTTAATAAGTTCATCATTTTTTTCAAAACGAGTTTCCATCTCAGATTTAATTATATCAATAACTTCATAAAATGTAGATAATAATGAAATATTAATATCGTCGTTGACATAATTTGTATAAGTACCAGATGATTCACTTAAAATATATTCATTCAATTTTATAGTAGTCTTTCTCTTGCGTTTTGGAGATTCAGTTTCGGTTTCAGGTAATAAATTTTCACAGTCTTTTAAAATTGCATTGAACACTTCTTCATTTCTTGATTGTTTTAAACTATTAATCACGCTATGAATAATTGGAATTGCTAAGGTTAAACCAGTTTCTCTTGATTGCAAAATTTTATCGGCTGGTTTGATGTATCTTAAACATTTTAACATAAGACACAATGCAAATCTAAATGTTTTCTTTTTCATTGTTAATGAGAGTCCTGCACATTGAGCTACTTCATTGCCATCAAATGATTTTCCATGCACTTTTTTTAGACAATTTATCATATCATCATAATTATTATATATAATTTCACATATTTTTAAATGGCTAGACCAACGTTGTTCTAACAATCTAACTGTATTATTGCCTTCGTATAATGTGTTTATTTTAAATGTGTTAAATACTTTATGAATGAGCCTACACTGATCAAAAAAGTGACCAATTTCGGTCACTTCCGACACTGCTTTGACAATAACCAAATGCAATTGATGATTATAACAATGTACATAGGGAATAGTTCGATTAAGCTTTTTTTGCATTAAAGACTGAACACCACCTTTAGTACCACTCATCACGCTAGCGCCATCGTAACATTGGCTGAGCATATAATCAGTATTAATATTTAATGACTTTAAAAGATCAAGTGTCATTTGCACAAAATAAGCTGCATTTAAATTTGTTGCATTTTTAATTGCTAATAAAGATTCAATTGGTTTTCCATTTTTTACGTATCG